AAGCTTTTCAAGTCCATCTGATGAAACATTAATAATTCATAATAATATAATAAATCATTTATGTTTCTGCAGAAGGATTTATCACACTGTCTTGCTTGAATCTCTTCTCTTTCGAGGTCCTATTTGTCATACACAAATACCGCTGGCAGAACTCAATTGGAAAACATGTTTCTGCCAGTCAAACCTTAGGAGGTGTGAGTACTCCCTGATGGCAGAATCGTTTTTGTAGGGTATATTCTGCACAATTACAAAATTTATTGAGGGACATTTCTTGAAATTAAAAACCTGAAGAAAGATTGAAAATTCAATAACATAACTATACGTGTATAAAATGGTCTTCTAACTATGGAAGAAAGGCATATGCAGAAGACATAGATTGCAGCTAGAAATTTATGCCCTTTCTTAAAATTTGTATTTAGAGTCATAACAAAGATTCCATGACTTCCTATAAAGAAAACTGGGTTGGCCCTGCTGTTGTCAAAATAATATGTTAGATGAAGTAGTGGTTTATTGCTGAAGAACTTTACATCACTATTAGGACAAACAAACAAAAAAATCTAGACCACCTCTCCAAAAACAGTACATTCATAGTATAGCACCCCTCATGTGAGACATAAGACTGGTTTACAGAATTCCTGAGCAAATATAGGACCTACTGTTCTCACAGGGGGTTGCAGCTCTTTGCTTCTGACAGCAAGACTCTCATGGATTTTATTTCAGGTGTTCTGTTAAACATAGACAGTAGAAAATGGTGTTCATGGTCAGGCAATGCTTTTCTTTTTATCATCTTAATATATTAAATCAGACCCCAGTATTTCCATAATGGTGACTGCTTTGACCTTGACCCAAACTCTAACCTTGTGAGCACAATATAGATTCCCATTAAGTCTACAGGAGCTGCTTAACTGGCAGCAGCATTTGAACCAATTACTGTACTATGAAAGAAGACAGACAACTCCCATGGCTGTTCAACTAAAATAGAAATACTGAAATTCTCTCACCAGTCTTCCTTAGCTGAATGGGATTCAGCAAAACGGGACCTTAGTTCAAATGACTTTTCTTTAAACTGTTAGCTAGAGCATACTTGTTATCATTACTGTTCTGCAAGACCATGCTTTCTTTAAAGGAACTCTTGTTACTTCGCCTCCACTTTTGTAAGCTCATATTCTTCAATCTCAGTTTGTCTCTGAGGCCTATCTTTCTTATTGTGGGAAAAATCAATAGTGCCTGCATTTTGCCTAGACATGGTGGCAATTTCCCCCAATAAACTCATAGTAAATTGGGTATTCCTGCCTTCACTGCAGAAGTGACAGCAAAGTGTATAGTGAAAGTCCACTGGAATCTCCAGAATCTGTATCTGAAGGTTGAAGGTCTTTCTCAGGGATGGACTAAACTAACATCTGAAGAAATTTTTCTTAACTTTGTTCTCATACTAGGTAACCTTGTCTGACTCTTTGGTATCATGTCTTTCCTCTGGGATCCTCCTTTCATTTAGCACCATGCTCACAGGAAGTTAACTAGCTCCACAAAAAGAGTTGAGTACTCGAAGACAGATCTGGCAGGCAAGAGGAATGAAGCACTGAAAATTTCAACAAATCTCCAGGAGCTGCAATAACACTGAATGCTCAGCACATTGTCATCTTGTCTGTCATCCCTAGGTCAGTAATAGAAATCAATTTCTATATGAAACTATCAGAACCTGGAGAGCTAGAATATTGCTGCAGGTGCTCGATGTCCTTTTTTTGAAAGCCCTCTCATGCCAATTTTTAACAATCAGGGGAGTTTCTCAGTTCTGCACATAAGGTATGACTTTTTTTTTTCTTTTTTTTTTGTGCACAATATGAGAATTCAATTACTGTGGGACCTATTCAAAGAACAGAGCTCGAAAGCTTCAGCATAAATTCAAGTGGCGTTCAAGATGGATAATTCACTTCAGTCACTAACATCTGCATATCCAAAATACTGTACTATCCAGCAGAGCAATCAAGCCCTTCTGCATAAACTCAGCAGGGCTGCTCTCCAGTCAGCTGGCTAAAAGGTCAGATGTTAAACTGATTTCACAATGTCACAGAAAAGCTTAGAAACTAGGAAAAAAAAATAAGCCTTATTCAGACTATGTCAAGGATTAGAATAGTACATCATTTCAAAAGAATTAGTAACAGCATAAGCAATAAAATACAGCAAACATCTTTGCTAATTCTTATGGTATTGGTAAGTAATACTATATTAAGTCTGTTATTTCAGCTTATGGAATATTCAAAAGTATGTCTTTGATTTTATCCTACTCAGTTTGAAAACAAAAATGAGAAGTGCTGAGCATGTAAGATTTTTGTGACACATTTATTTTAGTGAACTGAGAAATACAAGAAAACTTACATTTTTGTTTTGATGCATAATCTTGTTTCTTCCTGCCTCTAATGTAAAAATTAAATAGCTGAAGTGCTTGAACATCTTAGGAATATACATGGAAATCCCAGAACTACTTTGGTCATTCTGCACTGCTGCAGATGTTAGCATTGAATTGTCTTTTGATTTTAAACCAATTAACCCAACCATACATGAAGAATGAAGTTATAGCCAGATAATTTGGCCCATTTAAAGAGCTATAAAAACATAACAGCATCCCTGAAACAGATTTAGCTACATCATTGTGAATACATCACAACAGCAGCTGAAAACCATTTGGTTCCGTCCTGTGAACATGTAATACAAAACTAAAGGTGATTGAGCCTCATCTCAAGAGTGGTAAATTGACTCCACTGAAAAAAAAAAAAATTAGAGCTCAGCCCGTACTCTGAAAAGCTCACTTTTTGATTGACAGCATTATTATGTGTTCACAGATAGTAGTAGTAGATAGTAGTATGCGTTACTCCAGGTTTATGTCTTAATATATTCTCTTCATCCACATATGTACAGTATCATTTGAGCTACCCATAGTTATGTATTTTAGCTTCCATCAGTATAAAGATCTAAGGCATCCCTTACTGTTCACAGAAAGCTGTTTTGATATTTATACAGATGGTACATCCTTAACCAGGTCTGCTAGATCCATTGCATATATTTTCTATATAGGCAGAAATGTTAGTTCATTGTCAAGTTTTCAATTCCAAGCACTGTAAAACAGTTACTGTAATTGTCCATAATCCTTCAAATCAGAGTACTGTGGGCACCAGCAGACCCCAGTTTAGCAATGAAATAATGTTATGGAGCTGTCTTTAATTAAACACCAGAGAAGTCAACTGAGGATTCTAGGTACTTGAAAGTACTATTCATGATATTTAGTATGCTTCCTTTTTAGTTCATTTTTAATGAAAATTGACATCTATCTGCCTTCCCACACGACATCAAACTTTGAATTAAATGTGAGGATGAGAAAAAGGCAAAGATGTATGAATAAGGCAGTTAGAACAAAAGTTTATCCATCATGTGGCATTGGACATATCTTTTCTTTCTGTATACGCAACAAAAAAAAATTAAGGAAATGCTTGATTAGAGGCATGGATCTGGGTAAAGGATAACATGCTAATCCTGAAACAAGCACTTTTTTCATAGCCTTTTTTTTTTTCCCCCCCAGTAAAAGCAACAGACTGTTATATGAAAGGTCCTTCACGCCTGTAAGCAACACTCTATCTTTTTTTGGTTCAAAGGGAATTAATGGATATTTTCAATATCCTAAGCATGATTTTTCCTTATATATTTTGCTTTTGAACAAGTATGAAATACTTTGAATATAATTCTGTCCTATTTGCTTCTCAAATGCTGGGCAATAGAAATTACATGTAATTCTAAGGAAAGTTCGATCACTGTTTTATGCTTTTTTCTCATGTTTTATTTCATTGCATATATTCTTTCTGTAATCAGAGAAAATGGAGGCTAAGTGGAAGCACTTTTGTTGTTGTTGTTGTTTGTTTTGTTTTGTTTTTTGTTTGTTTGTTTGTTTAGTATTCCTCTTTCATGATTGGGAGTATGGCAAATGCTTTAGAAGAAAGAAAGAAAGAAAAATCTACTACTGGGCTACCATAGCATTGTGTTTACTTAGATATATTCAGTGGCGATTTACTCTTAGGCATCATTTATGTACAAAAGTGTTTGACTACTGGACAACAGAGAGAGCTCATTGATCAAATTTACTTTTGGCTCTGCAGACAATTGCAATACAGCACAACTTCCATTTACCTCCCCCAGGGGTCAGGTACATGCAGAATGACCCACTTTCATCCTCAAAGATCATCCAAACTACATAACAGATACTGAAAACACTCTTTATGACAAGCTCTTCTTAGCCACTGTATTATGCAAACATATAGTCAACAAATGCAAAATCTTTCATTTTTATATACGCCAAGATGTAGTTGCTGCTATTAATTTTATTGTATTTTAGTTCTTCTTTCCAGTAGAGTTAATACTGCAAAAAAAATAATACCAAAAATACATATAATTCTACTAGAGTTGAATGTTCAGCAAAACAGTATTTGTCCAGCTTATTGTTCCACTGGATGCCTTTAGAAAGTATGAATAAATGTTTTTTCCAGCTTAACCTTATGTAATGCACTGAATAACTTAATCATTGAAAGATGTTCAAATAGTGACTGTTACTATTCGTTATTCCAATATGTTAAGGTAGGGGGGTAGCAGATACTGTAACAATAGCCGTTACTGTTCACAGAACAGTAAATTCAAATGGTTTGCAGTAGGCATTTGTTTTTATTTAATATTGCTACAGATATTTGTTCACTTGAACATCCATTAGAAGAATTTCACTGATATTAGTATAAATGGTAGTGGTTATATTCATCCAGCATACTATATACCTAGCACACAGCATTGATTGACTTAGTCATTTTGGTGCTGTAATGCTTGTTCAAACAGTGAAAGATAGCTAGACTACAAAGGCATTTATTTATTTGGCAACTTCAAGGAGCAGCAAAATGTAATAGTGACCTCAGCTCCATTGACACTCTCAAATAGCAAATTTCTAAAAATAAGATTTCAAAACCTACCATGGTTTTGTCTTGTACATGTTATTGCTTCAAGATAAAGAGAGTTGTGCTTCTGCAGATTTCAAGCTTTGCTTACCTACAAAGTTAAGAGCAAAATTTGTTAACTGCATGCAAAAAAGGCAATGAATTAAGCTTTGTTGATTAGTTTTTGATCTAATGCATTCTGCATTGTCAAAAGGAAGTGGACTTTGCAGGAAAAAAATATAAATAATGCATAATAACTTCAGAAAAGTAAGAATGGATATCCTCTCAATAATCTCTGATATAACCATTCCCTGATATGTCAGAAACAATGCCATAATAACACGAATTTCCCTGCTTTCCATCTCAGAGATGGAAGCAGAACTTCAAAAGATTTGGCTAGGTTTGTGCCTTTTTTCTTAACTTAAAAATCTACCAATCTTTAGTCTAATCAAAGCCAATAGATGAATGCCATCAAGGCTTTTTTTCTAGTACTTCTTCTAGTACTTTTCTTTTCAGCTTGGAATTATAGAGATAATACTCCTTATTTAGTAAATGAAGTTAGAGTTATGTTAATAATTGATTTTTCAGTTTGTTAAATTAGCAAAGCAAATCAAACCTCCAACTTGAAATGTAAATACCTTCCTTGACAGAAACAACTCTTCCCTCCTGGTACTTCCATCTCTCTCACTCCCTTCCAAGTATTTTAAGTTTAATGAAACAATTCATATTGCTTTGCTTTATAATTTTTATGTGGTCATAGTAATTTTTTTCTCAAATTCCAATAATGAAAAATACTTTAGTTATGTGTATATATATATATGTATAAAATATTCCAGGGTAATTTTTCACCTTTGTGTTTTTTTCTCCTCTTTCTGTTCTGATAACTTGTTTTAGTTTTGGACAGAAATGGTCACTGAACTCAGCATGATTTACAGATAGTTCTACACAATCTAAAAGCTGTAAATAATTTACGAGGTTTAAAAAAAAATAAAAAAAATAGCAGCTTTATGAAGCTTTTTCACAGCCCTTTGATTACTGCTAGGCAAAACAAGGAAGAGGTGAGAAAACTGAAACGTTATTATTTTATAAACAAAAGGGCAATTCTGCTCAATTTATAATGAAGAGATTGAGATTTCCAGTTCAGTTGGGTCCTTCTATCTTTTAAAATGATGTCACCCCAGAATCAGTAAATGTTTCTTTCTAGAAAAATGACCTTTATGCTAGCAGACATAGTTTACATAATAACAATAGGTTACATATATTATTTACTGATCCCTCATCACCCTAAGGAAAACCAGTAGACCGTTTGCAGTTTACCGTAAATTAAAAGCAATCCTTGGAGTTCATGTCAATAAAAGTGTAGTTCCTGAACAGAGACACTTTTTGGATAAGGCAACTAGAAAATACGTTACCAATTCAAACATAGACAGGATATGGTATTTGATGTGTCATGATGAACTTGCTCTCCTGCTTTAGAGATATTGGATGACATATTTGTTGGAGACATTTTTACTCTCCTCTTTGAAAAAATGCCAGTAGCTCTTCAGCAAAGCACTGAAGCATAAGATGACGTCTGGGCAGCATGGCATGCTATGGTCAAGGGAAAAGTCCCATTAAGCAATTATATTAATTATAAATTGCCTTTAAGAGGCACATGCTTGTACAGCAGATAATGTTCTTGCCAAAAAGATGGTACAAAGATGGTACAAATGGCTAATCCTTCCAAAACTACTGGATAGGCTTAGCAAGTTGATGTGTTAACTCTTCATTAGAATATTTCTACTAGAATATTTCTAGTAATGTGATTTGAGTTCAATAAACTACCTATATCTTGGAGGTTGTCATTTAACACTATTGCATTAAATAACACACATGTAACTATAGTTTTAAGACAGGGTTAATTACATCAGAAGAAAACAGTTGATCGTGTTATGCAGCATTATTGACACAAAGTTGTGATGCTTTTGCTTGACTCAATAACAGATAAGCGCATATATTCACTTGAAGCAACGTATGTTGTCTATATGAATTCCCAGCATGCATGCCTATTTTTCAGTTTTAACAAAGACATGGGTTTTCTTTTCCAAACATGCCAAAACTAATTTAGGAATTTAGGAACTCAGTTTTCAAGGACAGACAGTTAAATGAGCTTTCAGACTAACTTGTGGGCTCACTCAAACACAGTTTACTTAAGGGTGCTGACATCCCTAGGTCCCGCTAGCTGCTTACTGTAGGTGTTTGGGTCTGCAAATTAGGCTCTGGCTGTAATTCAATACCTTGCAATTCACAAATGACAGATGAGTTTGGTCTTCTAGCTGAAAAGCTCATAGAGTGACATTAATAAAAATAAAAAAAACATTTGTTACTTAGACAACATGTCCTGGAACATATTTCCAAGTGTCATCAGAGAGACAAGGAGGCTGATAATGAGGACAATTTGTTTGTCACTAATCATCGTAAACACCAGAAAAGATAAAAATTAAAAAATAAATAAATGGAAAGCTGATGATCTGAGACTGATTTCTGTATTCTATTTTGGCCTCTGCTTTAGCTAGTTTTATTATTATTATTATTAAGGATTCACTTAGTGGTGGGTGTGTTTGAACAGCAAGTATGTTTAGAATCTTGATCGCTTGTGAAAGGAGTCCATCTTGGTACTTTGAGACTATTTAAGCAGGAAACAGTAGAACACATTTCATAGGAAACATTTCTGGTCTAGCAAACAGACATGACCTTTCCCAACAGATGGCTTTAGAATAAAAGCAGAACCCCAGGATGTGGGGCTATGTACTTAGCATACACCCAGAAGACCTGGATGAAAGTATTATCTGTCAGAGTGAGACTTTCTAACAGCTCAGAGCATTAATTCCATTATTTTGTTCAAAGGCATGTGCCCAATGTCTAATGTTCTGCAACAAATAAGAGAATGTGTTTAGCAGTCTATACTGCTAAATACATGCCAACCGTGAACAATGGAATATATGCCAACCGTGAGGACACACAAAATGTTGAAGACCCCATGTCACTCTTCCCAGCCCAAGTATTCTGGAATCAAACAGCGGGACTTTTTGTTTTCTGAAAAGAGATTTCTTTTATTACCACACAAACTTAGACCGCTGATTTGTCTTCCACTGTTAAGCGATTCACAAAAAAAAAAAAAATCAGCAAACACTCTATTATGACCCTACACAGAAGAAACGCTTGTTTTGTAGCTGCAAATTTTCTTTAAAAAAAATGGTCAACTCTCCTGTCTTTCACAACTCAGCAAATGGCTGACTTGCACATCAGTTCTTATAAGCAATATCAAAATAGACCCTGACACCACAGAATGGTACTGTATGTATTTGGTAATTTTGGAGATCTTAAGCATGTTTATATTGATATTTTCTGAGTCCATACATAATGAAATATAGGTCATATTCCTGATCATATTATTCAAAGAATCATATTATTCAGAGATTGTTTTGTGTCTGTAAATTTGTCTGCTATAGATAAGATATACCTTGGAGTTCTCACTTTTTCATTTCATTCCTGTAATCCAAACATCAGAATCACATTTCCACAAGCACTGCTGGTCATGAACCATATAAACATCTATCACAAGAATACCATCTATTTTTGTACATTTTAATCACAAATTGGTGGACAGAACAAACTAGTCAATGGATGCCAGTAGAAACAATCACTAAAGTATCAGCCTTACCAGGGCACCTCAACATTAGTTAAAATACCACCTAATATGGAACACAATACTCAAATAAAGGAACAATGCAATGCTATGTAATTGTTTTAAGGAAGCACAAGATAGAAATTCAGTACTCTTCAGCTGGGAGGAGGGATCAGGGGATACTACAGTACTTTTTTAATATACAACATAAGTTCAGAGTAAAATACCACCAATTATTCTTTAGAGAAGGCAGTCCCTCCTGGTAAAAGAGCCCAGGTGGCAATGTTTTCTGGTGGTGCTGATGAGAGCTAATACAAGAAAACTGATTGTGAATTATGCAAAAGAACTGAAAGTTGTAAAGAATATTGCATAGATGATTAAAATAAAACCCAGAAAAACTATGATTGCAAACACATTGAGAATTTGAACTGCTGGTTCAACCTACATGTGAGAATACCCAGTGCAGAGGCTGATCTCTAGTGAAAATGCTGCAAATCATATACAAATTAGAATGAATATTTATCAAATGTTTTAATTAAAAATATCAAGCTGTTAGATTCTGCTGAAAAAAATAAAAAATCAAAGGAGACAACAACCATGAAGCTGAAACAGTGTAGCGGAACAAAAACTCAGCTGGAACCCCCATCAGCAGCCAAGGAAAAAAATACCTCATGAGCATCCCACAGCCTTAATTCAATAATACTCAGAAAGCCTGTGCATCCCAAAGGACGCATGTTGCTTGAAGATGGAATTCATTAATGCTCATGCTCAAAAATCGATACAGGAAATTCACTGAACCCAAAAGCATATGCCATGAGTCAAATTATCATCATAGATTGCTGTTTTCATATTTTTGCTTTCTTTTGTCAAACCCAAATAAGCCATCTCAAGGCAAACAGCTTTTGTTCTTGGAAAGCTCAACATTAAATTAGATATAAAAAGACATAAAACTTATCAAAAAACTCCTTGATGCTGCATGTGCTAAACTCTTTCTGCTAGGCAGCTGGAATAGAGAACAGACACTTGTACAGCATGACCCTGACTGCTGTGGTTGACAATTTGGATCATACTTCCTCTCCAAAGAGAGGATTTTACCAAGCTACATGCAACTTCATACAGTTATCAAATAAAGCAAAAGTGAAAACAGAACATGGGTTACAACTTCTGTGGCACAGGAAAATCCAATAAAACAAATGGGATTTAACAGAAGCCATTTAGGGTGAGTTAATTATTTTCTTACATGTTCTAATGTATTTTAGCAGTAGAAAACCTTCAGAACAAATAGGACTATGTATTTAGTGCCAATCTTTTCATGTAAGAAACTGTATTTATCATTCAATTTAGCTGAAAACTGAATCTAAATACAGTATTTGCTTATAAATTTATGACAGTATCCTCTTGTCAAACATCCTACAAACACATTCTCCACAGAAAATACATTAGAC